AGCTTGGACCATTGTGAATACGATCAACATCACCTTCCATAAAAACCAAACCAAGGCCTTTGTTTCACAGCTTGTCTCCTCGGACTGATCAAGATATGAGGCAATTTCATCCAGTTCAACTTAATTTTTCAGTTTTTCAGAAGTTGAGCATGTAGGCATTCATCCCAAGCTCTCAACCTCTCCTAAGAACTCACTACTTGGTAAGTAGAACTATAGGGAAGTTTTCGTGATGCCTAGCAGAGGACACACAGAGCATAGTGATGGTGTCCATCTGAGAGATCAGGGATGTTGGCTCCCATCTGGAGCAAAGAGCTCTTTAATGACAGTGTCACAGAATCATCTGGGGAGCTTGTTTCCCATGGAAACAGTGGTCTACGTGGATTACCTGGAGAGCTTAAGGAGGAAAACAGTGGTCCCACTCCCCAAAATGTTCAATTTTACTAGAGTTGAGCCCAAGAATTTTTTTTTTTTTTTTTTTTTTTTTTTTTTTTGAGACAGGATCTCCCTGGAGCCCCTGAACCCAGAGATCCGCCTGCCTCTGCCTCCTGAGTACTGGGATTAAAGGCCTGTGCCACCACACTGGGCTAAAGCCTAAGAATTTGAACTTAAAAAAAATAAACTCAACCCCTCACCTCACTGTGGGAGGTCACCTCATTGTGGGTAGTCCTCGGAACCCGCCTGTTCTCTGACTTTCATGTATGTGTCCCCACACAGTCTCTCTTCACAGGTCCAGAACAGTGAGGAGGTTTTTTCCCGGATTCCTTTTGGAGTCCAGGAAGTTCAGGGAGAAACATTTCCAATCAGTACTTTAGTGTAAAAGTGGGGGGAGGGGAGGTGCCAGGGATGGCACCCAGTGCTTTGTACACATTAGGCAAGTGCTCTCCCACTGATACGTCCCCTGCCTTTGACAGGGCAGACTCTGAGAGTGCTTTAGACTCCCTGCCCCAGTCATGGGTTCAAATTAAATAACCTGGTTTTAGGCTTCTTCTGCTAGGTTCCCTCTCCTCTAGGCCAAGGCAACAGGTGACAAATTCAAGAAGGAGCTAGCAGCCCACAGTTATAAAGTCTTGACCTTCAAGGCTACTGAACATGCAGGAGTGATCAGTTGGGTGGGAAGAAGTGCTGTCATTTGGGATTAAATTTGTTTTAAATAGAATTTCAATGCACGTAATGAATGACATTACATTTGATATACATATGCACATATAACATTTACTCTACACTCTGTAGGTGGCCACAGACCTCACCATTGTTTATGCCTTATACCTGTGTGACTCCTATTTTAAACATTTCCTACTTGGCTCCTGTAGGTATTTGAATTGGACAATCCTGAGCTATATTTTAAATCATTTACACATTAACTCCAGGGTCCTAGCTGGGTCCCCAGGGAGCAGAACTTATGCTAAGAGCACCTTGGTGTCAGAGAGACAGAGACTCAAAGTGGGCTCTGCATCTGTAAGCATTGGGGACACAGGACAAGTTACAGTCAAGTTACAGAGCTCAAACAAGAGGGGAGGGAAGCTGGAAAACCCCTAGAGTTCTGCCTGCCTCTGGGGTCCTGGTGGCTGTGGTAGATAAGGGAGCAGTTCTTCATCCCAAGGATATACAGTCACCATCCACTACCTCTGCTCCAAGGTGCTAAACTATCTGAGAACCCCATTCACTATTGAAAAACATTTTCAGAGTTTTGGTGGTAACCAGCACTGTTTGCCCTGCTGAAATGGTCTTTCCAGTCTTTATCGTGCCGAATTCCACCGTCCTCTTCAAGACGCACCTCACACTCACAGTTCTTTGGGAATCAGAAGTGGACAATTTTCACCTCCTTTCAACTTACATTATCTACTTTGAAAAGATGTTTCCTGGGGCTGGAGAGATGACTCAGCAGTTAAGAGCACTGGCTGCTCTTGCGAAGGACCCAGGTTCGGTTCCCAGCACCCACATGGCAGCAGCTAACAGCCATCTGTAACTCCAGTTCCAGGGGATCTGACACCCCCTTCTGACCTCCATGGGCACTGCATGGGTGCACTTATACACATGCAGACAGTATACTCATACACCTAAAATGAAAATAATAAAATAAAATAAAATTTCAGGTACTGTGAAGATGTTATGTAGCAGGGTTGTTTTGTTGTTTTGTTTGTTTTCAAAATCAAGGACATTT